TGATATGCTTTAATAAACCTATTTACTCGTTCGATATTATTAAATCCAATATTTTTTATACTTCTAAATTTACAACAGATAAATATTTTGAAGTCTTCATAATCAGCAATGAGATATTTATCATGGTCTGAGTAAAATAATTCATCTTCATTTTCTTAACTTCGACAAGAAAAACCTTCATTATTTAATAATTTCATTATATCTTCTTTGTATTCTTGACATAATTCAGTAATTTTTTTCTCCTAAATAAAAAAAAATATTATAAGTACATCATGTTTTCATCGTGCTTTTTAGTAGGAACACTAACCTCACCTAATCTCTAAAGTTCTCAGATTTACATCAGGTGACTATATTAGCAGAGCCCAGACTCAATATCTCACTCAACTAGCAGCGTAACTTATATCTGAGAACACACTTAACATACAATACTTAGTATAAGAAATATTTATACCTCATTATTCTTTTTGACTTGATACTTCTTTACGCTTGAAAAATTTTTAGAACTCATTTTTTGCTTACAAAAAACTGTTTATACAGAAAAAATTTTAGCATGACATAATAGATAAAAAAAATTATGAGATATATAAATAAATAAAAATCTAATCTAAAAATAAACAAAAAAACACAATCATTACAAATTTTAATGACTGATGATTAAATACGAACAAAGAAATATCAATTTATAGTATAAATACTTCAATATTTATATGTTTTGTAACACAGTAAATCCTATATTTACTAATAGATTTTCTAAAAATAGAATGAACCAGAATGAATCATTTAAATCAATTGATCGCAAAATTTTTTTATCATTTAAATAATTAACAAGAAAGATATTAAACAAAAATATAATTAATAATTTGTTTATTAACATATTTTTTAATAAATATAAGTTTTCTAATAATACGTATTAATTTCATTCAAGCTATATTTATAATTAAAAAAAAACTATTTTTTAGATCTCTGCCAATTTTTAATTGCTGTTGAAAATAATTTATCTGATGCAACACCATCTTTTTTTAATCGTTTCATTTTTTTGCTCATAAATATGTTATATTTACTTAATTTTCTTTTTTTTTTAAGAGTTGTTTTTTCATTTAATTTTCTCTTCTTTTTTTTAGGTTTTGTTTTTATTTCTTCTATAACTAATTCTTCTGATTCTTCAGAATCTGAATTATCGTAAAGTTCTTCTGAATTTTCAGATTCTGTTTCTGAAATTTCATTTTTATTTAATTCTATTAAATCAATAATACCTTCTTTGATTTTTTTTACAGAATTTAATTTTAATAACAATTTTAATTCTTTAACAGTAGCCATAATTAAACTTAAAAAAAAACTTTATTACTTAATTCATAAAATACATATATTTATATTTTTTTTAAAAAATAAAGAATAAAAAAAATTAATATTTATAATCATCATTATTATCATCATCATCTTCATCATTATTGTTATCATCATATTCTCGTTCAATAGTCACAGTAAATTCATTACATTCATAATGAATTTCGTAATTTATATTTTCATTTAATAAAGTCCAATTTTCGTCAACCCAAGAATCGAGAAGTTCATTTAATTCTTGTTCAATATTATCTTGAACATTTTTATGTTTAACTTTATCAAATATTTCTTCAAAAATGCATGTTTTGTTTGTAAAAATTTGAATACTATAAAAATATTAATATATAGTATCAAAATAATCAAAATTTTGAAATTCATTTTACGTTTTTTTTGTTTATTATTATTAAGAATCTGTTCTTTATATATTAAAAATTACAATAAAAATCAGATGATAAAATTATATAATTATATAAAAATATAGTAAATTGATCATCGTTATAATGACACAATATTTATTCAAAATGAAATGAATAGTTATTGTGTAATTATAACGATAATCAATTTAAATTGAACTATCAAAATTAACAAGCTTTTTTAAAGCTTGTGATCTGATATTATTTGATATCTATGTCATTTTGGACATAGAATTATTATTTAAATCTAATTTATAAATAAAATTTGTATTTATATTTATAAGATATTTTAAAAAAAATAATAATTCTTATTGTAAGGATAAGAAAAATACCTTAAGATAAAATAAATTTTAATAATTTTTTTCTTGTGAAGATGAGGAAAGGTTTTTCTTCTT